GAGAAGGGGAAGAACCACTATTGAGAAGGAAGAGTACTGAAGAGGAGGAAGAAGAGGAGGAGGAGGAGGAAGAACCACTATTGAGAAGGAAGAGTACTGAAGAGGAGGAAGAAGAGGAGGAGGAGGAAGAACCACTATTGAGAAGGAAGAGTACTGAAGAGGAGGTAGAAGAGGAGGAGGAGGAAGAACCACTATTGAGAAGGAAGAATACTGAAGAGGAGGAGTAAGAGCTACCAAGGAGAAGGAAGAGGCCGGAAGAAGAGGAAGAGGAGGAGAAGGAAGAAAACCACTGGTTGGAGAAGGAAGAGGCTGAAGAGGAGGAGAGGAGGAGGAGGAAGAACCACACTGAGAAGGAAGAGTACTGAAGAGGAGGAGAAGAGAAGAGGAGAGGAAGGTCCACTTGCTGAGAAGGGAAGAGTAACAAAGAGGAGGAAGAGAAGAGGGAGTAGAAGAACCAATTATTGAGAAGGAAGAGTACTGAAGAAGAGGGAGAAGCGAAGAGGAGGAGAAAGAACCACTATTGAGAAGGATGAGTACTGAAGAGGAGGAGGAAGAAGAGGAGGAAGAAGAGGAGGAGGAAGAAGAACCACTATTGAGAAGGAAGAGTACTGAAGAGGAGGAGGAGGAGGAAGAACCACTATTGAGAAGGAAGAGTACTGAAGAGGAGGAGGAAGAGAAGAGGAGGAGGAAGAACCACTATTGAGAAGGAAGAGTACTGAAGAGGAGAAGAGGAGGAGGAGGAGGAAGAACCACTATTGAGAAGGAAGAGTACTGAAGAGGAGGAAGAAGAGGAGGAGGAGGAAGAACCACTATTGAGAAGGAAGAGTACTGAAGAGGAGGTAGAAGAGGAGGAGGAGGAAGAACCACTATTGAGAAGGGAAGAGAGTGCTGAAGGAGGAGGAAGAAGAGGAGGAGGAAGAAGAACCACTATTGAGAAGGAAGAGTACTGAAGAGGAGGAGGAGGAGGAAGAACCACTATTGAGAAGGAAGAGTACTGAAGAGGAGGAGGAAGAGAAGAGGAGGAGGAAGAACCACTATTGAGAAGGAAGAGTACTGAAGAAGAGGAAGAGGAGGAGAAGGAAGAACCACTATTGAGAAGGATGAGTACTGAAGAGGAGAAAGAACCACTATTGAGAAGGATGAGTACTGAAGAGGAGGAGGAAGAAGAGGAGGAAGAAGAGGAGGAGGAGGAAGAACCACTATTGAGAAGGAAGAGTACTGAAGAGGAGGGAAGAGGAGGAGTGTGTCAGGTAACATGGTGCTGAAGGAAGTTTGTTAAGTCAACACCTCTTACCTGGGCTGAAGGGTCACCTCTCTACCCCCCTTCCCTTCCCTCACCCCTCACCCCCACATCACTCCACTCCCTCACCCCTCCCCTCTGTACCACCCTCACCCCTCCACTCTCTACCCAACCCATGTACCTCATATTTGGACTTACACCCTTCTCCCCATCCTCCCTTCTGCACACCCCATCACCTTCACTCTCACTGCACCCCCATCCACCCCTCCCCTCACCCTCCGCCCCCTCACCCCTCACCCTCATCCTACACTGTACCCCTACACCCCTTATCCCTTACCAGCAACCCTTTATCCTAACTCACTCAATGTTTCATCCTACATCCTAATATTCCCATCCTCTACTACAACTCCCATTTTATCCTTCTCCTCTGTCTCTCCCTCCTCTCCTACCATTAATCTCTCTCTCTCTCTTTTTTTTTACCCTCTCCTCTCTGGATAAGGAACTTAAAAAAATGGCTTCTACCATTTTCTTGTTTACGTAAACTGTCTATGGTCGATAAGAACAACCAACGGCGTCAGTGTTCATCCTGGGAGAAAATAAATGGGTGGATCTGTGGAGGGTGGGAATGAGTGTTTCATTCTGGGAGAAAAAATCTTGAAGGAGTTGTGTGGAAGATGGGAAGGAGTGTTGTTCTTGATACTCACAAGACCTCCTCGTAACGTTATCAAAACAAACTCTCACACACACACACACACACACACATACACACACACACACACACACACATACACACACACACACACACACACACACACCATAAAATAACTCATAAAACATCGTTCCTCCACAAGTCCAGAAAAAAACAGATCCCCATCTTATTTTCACTCCAGCCTGGTGACGCAAGATCAATTCGGGCTTTCTCAGGCGTGACTCGCCAACCACTTGACCCACTGCCAGTGTTGTTGGAGACTGGACAGGTGATTGGCTGACTGTAACGATGTTGTTAAGTACATTAGTGACTGCATGGTGACGTTATTGGACAAGGGATTATTGTCTGACTGAGTGAGTGATTGTAATGAGTAGGAGAGTAATAATTAAGGCAGGTGATGGACGTAGGATGTAACAGGTGATTTTTAACAGGTGTTGCTTACTATCTGTCTGTACAAGTGACTGAAATGAGTGTTACTTTGACTGTGGATTGATGTTGGATACAATAATGACTGTGGTGGACTGAGGTTAGTGTCGATCACTTGTGTAAATATAATTATTGCAAAGATTATTGTGTTTGTAGTGGATGTTGAGTGTTGACGTGATGTTGCAAGTGACATTGTGAGAGAAGTGGTAGATGTTGTTGATGTTATTGCATCAGTACTTGTAGAGAAGATGTGATTCGTGGTTTAGTGATACACGTTCGTTTTAATTATAGTTTATGCCATGTTATTTCTTACCACGGTGTGTGGGTCATGAGCCAGCAACTGGTGAGAGAGAGAGAGAGAGAGAGAGAGAGAGAGAGAGAGAGAGAGAGAGGTCAACACTTAGTAAAATATAAACACTGGGACGAAACTACTAATCCCTCAAAGACTAAATTTTACCAAGTCTTTTAAGTCTAGTCTTCCACTTGTTGCAGCCACACAGGGGAGGTCCTCGCCCAGTAGCGTGTTGGTGTTAACGTCTCAGTGTGTCATAGTAACAGGGTACACAAACACTTGCCTTATGTGAGTTGTTTTTTTTTATTCGTAACCAAATACAAATACAATAATATAGGAAAGATAATCTACATGCATTATAAAAAAAACAGAACATAGGTACGAAATATGAAGATAGAGGATATTAAGAAAAAACACGGAACTAATTTGTACATTTTTTCCAAAAAACGAAATTTTATTTTAATTGGCAGAAGCTGAAGCGGCTGTGTTATGATCATTTAAAGCAAGAGAAGCATGTCAGGTCAGAGGTCGCCCTATGGCACCCCTGGCCCTGGCACCCTCGCCTGATACCACCGACCCTGGCACCTTCACCTGGCACCACCAACCTTGATACTCTTGCGTGTCATGTGACCTGCATAACAGGCTCTCGTTCACCCTCCCACCCCCACATCCTACCTCCACTCCTTCCCCATCCTCCTCCCTCCCCCCACCTCCTCCCTCCCCCCACCTTCTTCCCTCCCCCCACCTCCTCTCTCTTCACAATTCCTAAATTCTCCCTCACGTTTCCTCTCAGTAGTATGGGATTTAGTCCACTGTGGGCGGCTCAACAGGAGAGACTATCGAGTTCAATTTTATTTCTACTTTGTCCTCTTCTCCTCATTTCTCATCTTTCTCACTCAAGCCCAACTCTCCTCATTCGTTTCCTACACTCTTTCTACCTCATGTTCCTCACTTGCGGTGCTGGGGGGAGACATGGGTGATGAGATGTCCATCCACCCCCTCATTCCCTTCTACGTTCCCAGGTCCTCATTCACCTTCCTCACCTCTTTCTCTCTCACCCCTCACCTGTCTATGGTAGGGGCACAAGGGTTAGGGGAAGAGTTGGTAACCTAGAGGTTTTCTGGAGGGGAAAGGAGGGCAATGGGACGGAAGGAGACATTGGGAGTTCTGATGAGGAATGGGGAGTTCTGTAGGCAGTGGAAGAGGAGAGGAGATGACGAGGGGTTCCTGTGGGAGGTGGGGGGGGGGGGGGGACAGAGGTTCCGACATATAAATCTTTGTCTCTTAAACACTCTATAAAAATTAATTATCTCAGAACACAAATATGGATAAAAATTTACAATAATATTAAGAAAACTCTGAGTAAATAGATGTTAGAATCAGAATCTCCCTCACCGATATGATTCTTAGATAGATGCCAGATGTCGCTAAAAGTATCCAGGGAATTATATTTATATTTTGTATAATTATAATGTACTCGTATACATACACATGATATGAAGATCTATCGTGTATACATTTACTTTATACACATGAATTACATACACATTTTAGGTGTTCATACGATACATACAAACATACATATGACATACAACAGGGTGTATGTATATGTATGATAAACAGATAGGATACATTTTAATTTGTTTTGTCATATCTAAAGGTGTTTTAGACGATCACCCGGGAATGACACATATAACCTGAAACACATCAGGGACACATCAGGGACACATAAGGACTGGGACACATCAGGGACACATAAGGACTGGTACACATCAGGGACACATAAGGACTGGGACACATTAGGGACACATCAGGGACACATAAAGACTGGGACACATCAGGGACACATAAGGACTGGGACACATCAGGGACACATAAGGACTGGGACACATCAGGGGACACATAAAGACTGGGACACATCAGGGACAAGTAATTCTCTCAAAAGGATGAAGCAGACACATAGGTATAATGAATGAGGAAGACACATGATACACATATGACTAATCCAGTTTACATGAGGGAGGGAAGATAATGCTAAACAACGGAGTCAACATTGCTTTATGGGGCCATGATGACTTAAAGGTGTGATGAACTACGAAGACACGTGAGAAACGAGGATAAAACAGGTGTATGGAGGAGTGAGGGAAGAGGGGAGGGGGGAGAGATGGGGAAGAAATTAGGGAGGGAGGTAAGTAGGGAAAAAGGGGGAGGAAATGAGAGAGAGAGAGAGAGAGGAGGAAGAAAGTAGGAAGGAAGGATGGAGAGAGCAAGATAGGCAGGCAAGCAATGGAAGAGAGAGGGAGGGGAGGGAGGGAGGGAGGGGGGGAAGGGAGGGGAAGGGAGGGAGGGAGGGAGGAAAGAGGGAGAATTAAACTGATCATTGGAGAGTAAATTACAATGCATTATGGCGGGTGTTAGTGGTGATTGCCGCCTGTGTGTGGAGGCGGCGAGTCACTAACATCAAACAAAGCTGCGAGTTTTTACACCAAGAACAGATGTGTAGTGAGGTAAACAAAAGATAGCTGCACCTCGTCACACCTGTGCAGCTGTGCCAGAGTCAGATGTGTAGTGAGGTAAACAAAAGATAGCTGCACCTCGTCACACCTGTGCAGCTGTGCCAGAGTCAGATGTGTAGTGAGGTAAACAAAAGATAGCTGCACCTCGTCACACCTGTGCAGCTGTGCCAGAGTCAGATGTGCAGTGAGAAAGTATATCAGTAATGTCACTGACTACCACACATGTGTAGTTGGGAGAGACGGGTGGGGGGGGGGGAGGAGGAGGAGGAGCTACACTGTGACAAGTGCACAAGCATCAAGCCACTGTAAGGTGCATCTTTCAGAGCAGCTGTACCAAACACCACACCAAAACAAATATATATCAAGGAACCTAAATATAAACAAAGCGACGTGTCATGGCCTGGCTGAGAGATGACTGTTGACAACACGTAATTATTAACACGTTTATCAATATTTTCCCTAAATCTTCTTGTTAATAAATCACATCAGAGATAAATAAGGAAAAAAAAAACACTTCTAAAGTGTTCCACGGAAAACTTAAAAAAAACCATATTATTCCATTAAAAAAATACACCATTATTGTTTTAATTGAAGCACAAAAACTAGGTAGTGTTTAGTGCAGGAAGCAGGACCTGACCTGGCTACTTAATGTTATAAATCCTTAAGAGCTTTTTCTCCTGATTCGTATGGCACTGTTATGACTTAGAGCCTATTCCCACTGAGAGTTTAAGGGCACTTAAGTTTACACAATATTCACATCCTTCTAAGACACTTTGGTCATTTCAATTTTTTTCCAGTGCATCAATCCCTCAAAAACCTGTCTCTAGTGAGGGTTTTAAAGGCCACTTAGGTGTACATAACATTTTAAATCTTTGAAAATTCACAGACTTTTTCTCTCTTTTTTTCAGAGTATAATTTAAATCTGTTTCCACTGAGAATTTAAGGCACTCAGATTGATACAATGTTCAGACTGACGAAGATCTCACATAGATTATTATATTTGTTCTATTCGTCTTTCTAAATCTAATATTTTTATAAAACTCTCATAATTAATTTACAAACACGGAAGTTAAGAATAAAACGTTTTCTAAGGATTTCGTAATTCATTTGTTTTCATGATAAGGAACACTGAGCCATCTGACCCTCTAACAAAAAACTCATTATCTTGTGTAATTTCAGTAAAAAATACGGTTGTGTAATAATATATTTCTGTATATCACAAAAAACCTGTTTGTTATCGTACTTAAAGCACATTCACTATATACACTTCAGTTAAAAAATAAACGCAACTAATTTGTTTTTGTATTGTTTCTAAAGTTATATATTTCGTTTCGTAGTTCTCTGGTTCGTTCGTTCGTTATATACATGTTTTTTCGTTCTTTATACTCCGGTCGTTATAGCTGGCCAGTTTTCACTCTTTGCTCCCCCGGTTCACTGAATATTATGTTTACTTTACCGGATTACTGTAGTCATCTCACATTACCGGTTCACTGTATCATACCTTACCACTTCATTGTATCTTACATTACCAGTTCACTGTATCATACATTATAGGCTCACTGTATCATACATTACAGGCTCACTGTATCATACATTACAGGCTCACTGTATCTTACATTACCGGGAACGTTTCAGTTTTCTCAATATAACCAGGATCACCATTGTTCACTTTAACATCACCGGGTTTGTGTACACAGTTCTCCATCACCACCACTCTCTCTCTCTCTCTCTCTCTCTCTCTCTCTCTCTCCTGTATATCGCTGGTCCACTGTCATCATATTTACTCCTTCTTCAACGTGTTTTTAATCTTATTTCGTAAAATTCGGTTCTACAGCACCGCTTCGTTGTACTACAGTCAGCCTCTTCACTGGCGATATAGCGAATTCAGCTACATATAACATTTTCCTTCTGTAGGTCATAATAGCCATTTTTGTCAACATTAATAACCTGTAGCTCAAGTTATTTTCCTTTTATTTCTTCGTTATATATCGTTTTACGTTAATCTTCCGCTGTAGTGAATTTCAGCGTCGCCGTTGTATAGTGTTGTTGACTGTTTTCATATGGCTGGGTCGCTGTAGGTACGCTCAGGAAGCACTCTTAGCCCTGTTACGTCTTCGTGTTACTCTGATTCCCGCCACCAGTTTATCGTACTAAACGACCAATGTCTCACCGGGAGAGTCTAGCTTAATCAACTTCAGTGGAACTTCAGATTTCGTTTCTGTTTCTGAATCCACAAACTCTTCTGGTTTTGTTTCCTCTTCTTCTTCCTCTTCTTCCTCTTCCTCATCGTCTTCTAGTATATCTTCCTCCCTCTTTAACCATTTTTCGTCCGCTTTATCTACTTCGCTGTCCAAGGTATCATCAGCATCAATATCATCGCCGGGGTTATAAATAATCTCGCTCTTGTCCATCTTTCTCTTCCTGCGGACGGTGAGGTCCATCGGCTGGTCGTGAGGGGCGGCCGAGGTGTTGTTGGTGACGGAGGGTAATGCTGCTGCTGACGAGTTGGTCTGGTGAAGCTGAGGCGCCCCTCCTGTAGAGTTTGGAGGTCCAATGGGGCTTACATTCTGCCTCTGAACCTGCAGAACGGCGTCCAGGAACCTCTTCTTTGTCACGGTCTCGTCCTTCGTCAAGCGGTGTGGAGGTCGGGAACTCGTGGCCTCAGAAGACCCGAAAACCGTATTCTTGAATCCTTCGATAGATGGGACGGAGTTGCCGAAGGAAGGGTAAAACTTGGCAAGTGGGGGGAAGGGTAGCATGGAAGGCCACAAAGGAGGGTAGGGAGGAAACGGGAAGATGTTGTTGTTTAGAGAGCTGTAGAGGAGGTCAGTGTTGGGAGGTACTCTGACGGTGGAGGTCACTGGGGAGTGGTCTCGAGTATACAAAGAGGCGTGACTATTAACTGCCTTTAGGAAAGATAATCTCTCCTCTTCTGACATCAAGATCCCCGCGGATTTTCTGTCGGTGAACTTGGGCGATGAATCACGCCGAGATTTATCTAACTCTTCACGACTCGGCAAAGAAACTTTAGTTTGTTCATAATCAATTTTGATGGGTTCATCATTAATGGTAGACACCACCTCCTGCTCGCTCCTGTCGATGCATTTAGCTACACTAGGTGAGTCGTGAGCTCGACGTTCATTTTTTAGTTCGAGTGTCATCTGGTTCTTCCTCTCGTAAGAAATCTCGACATTGGGACGCCCCCTCGAAGCCTCCCGTAGTCTCCTCTCCCATTCGAGGACAGCAAGAGGCCCGAGTCGAGCCTCGACATCCGATTCCACTTGACGAAGATTGTCGAGCGTCTCTATGTCGAGGTTCCTCCGAAGAGGATCAAAATCAATAGATCTTCTTAACGAGTCGAAGTCTGATGTTCTGCGAATATTGTCAAAATTCTGTGACCGTCTGAGAACTTCGAGGACTTGGTCTCTGTGGTGCGCCTCTAAGTCTTGGCTCTGTGGAGGATGTCCTGCCCCTCGAGTCAGAGCGTGAAGGGCATCCTCCTGCAGCCGTCGTTCCACCTGCTGGGGTCATATAAAAAAACGTTTATTATTACAGTTTCTGGCCTGAGTAAACAAAAGTGTCCACCTATAACACTCGGCAGATGTTCAAGTATTTAAACACTTTATATGATTCAACCTAAAGGTGCATCAAAATACTCATTCTCAACAGCGTATGAAATCTCGAGCCTCTGTAAGCTACTAAGAATTCAAAATATAAATTGTACAAAATAATAAAATTGTCATTTAAGCTGTACGTGAACACTAGTCCTGGAGTGACGTCACCAGCACCACCAACTGAACAACTCATTAATACCTAAGTGCCAGGTTGTACTAAATTCACAATAGTTACAAAGATGAAACTCTTCTATAGTAACTTTGCATCTTCATTACATTTATTACGTTAAATATGAAAGAAGTAAATACACATGCAAAGCAAAACACAAACAAAAAATGAAAATGTTTCCAAATAGAATATGCAGTTAACAACAGCCTCATAGATAAGTATAATATAAGTAATGATTGAATAATGAACACTAACTAACCTGACATGTACTGATGTAATCTAACCTGACCTAACCTAACCTAACCCAGGTAAGGTCGCTAAGGTTAAGCTAGCACAGGACGTCTTTAAGGATTGAGAATATATCTTATCAATGATGTAACTCTTTCTAATTCTTCCTTTACAACAAAACGATATTTGTCCTTATATAATAAAAAACAAAGTTTGTTGTTATTAACGTTATAATCGACTGTCCCTAAGAGTGATATAAAAAATATCTTTCATATCTCATCTAAATATCTCAAAAAATAAAATAATTATCTTTATTACTCTTAAGACTTCCTCTGCCTTGAAAACTAAAAATGAAAATTTCTGTACACTTTAACAACCGGTATCCAACAACACTCCTCTTGAACAACAAGTTTTTGAAGTGCCTCAGCGTCTGTTAAACCCAGGAAAAGATGCCACGTAGTTCATTAATTACCGGAAGTCAATACTGTATAGGGGAGAATATCTGAAGTGATGTAACAAGAGTACCAGAGAGACTCACCGCGTTGATCTGGTTGGCTGTACTGAGGGAGGAGAGGGACGTCTGCAGGTCCTGAGCTCCGTGGAGGTCAGGTCCTTGGATGGGAGGCGGGGCTCTTACAGGACCCTCCCGACCCATGACTTCCCGAAGATGAGACGATACGAAGGGCAGCGACCCGTCCTGCAGCGTGGGCGTGATGGGGGTACGGATGGGGGCAGTCTGGCCGTTGTAGGCAGCCTGCTCCTGAAGAAGGCAGTGGATCTTGAACCAGTTGGAGCGTCGACCGTACCTGAAGGAGACACAGGGACAGACATGATGGTGACTTCAACTCTCATGTAGACAGTAATCTTTGTGAGGTTTTCTTTCCATCTCTACATTATTTACTTTTCTTTATTATTCATTATGTATTATTGCCATTGTATATATATATATTATATTTACGGTGTTTAGGTCCTTTTAATACTCTACTGTTCTCTCCCTTGCCTCTCTTCCTCCTCTTTTTACTTGTGTTTTCTTCCTGTTTCCTCTACTCACTCTTTATTCTTCCCCTTCCATTTTCTGCCACCAATCCACTCTCCCTCTCTATCCTAGTCCCTCCCCCTCTCCTCCCTGTTCTCTCCCCTACCCTCTCCCTCTCACCTTCCTTCTCCCATCCCCTCTTCTTTTCCCTCTCTCACTTCCCCCTACCCCTCTCTCTCCCTCTTTCCTCCCCTCCCCTCTCCCACAGCTCCCCTCCCCTTTCCAGTCCAACTAACTCCCCCTCCTTTTCTACTCTCTTTCCCTATCTCTTCCCCCTTTCTCCTCCTTTCTCTTCTCCTTGCCCTCTCACCTGCTGCCAGTCTTGGACATGCCGACCATAAGACACTTGCGGAGCCTGCAGGCCTTACACGATGTTCTGTTCTGCTTGTTGATGACACACTGGCCGCCGTTCTTACACTCGTGCACCTGCGACAAGTTGTTGTACGTTCGCCCGAAGAACGACTGTTGGAGGAGACAAGGTGTGGTTAGTGTGACTATGGTGTGGAGAAGACAAGGCGTGGTTAGTGTGGCTGAGGTGTGGAGAAGTAGACACGGTGTTGTTAGTGTGGCTATGGTGTGAAGAAAACAAGGCGTGGTTAGTGTGGCTGAGGTGTGAAGGAGATATAGGGTGTAGTTAATGTGGCTATTGTGTGGAGGAGACAAGGTGTGGCTAGTATGCCTATGGTGTAGAGAAGGAGACAAGGTGTGGTTAGTGTAGCTATGGTGTGGAGGAGGAGACAGGGTGTGGTTAGTGTAGCTATGGTGTGGAGGAGACAAGGTGTGGTTAGTGTGGCTATGGTGTAGAAAAGAATACACGGTGTGGTTAGTGTAACTATGGTGTGGAGGAGGAGATAAGGTGTGGCTAGTGTGGCTATGGTATGGCTATTTATTTATTTATAATCTTAAAATGTGTATTTGCTATATAATAATAACTCTCAATATATAGAAATTATATATATATACATCTGTCTACATTTTGTAAACATATATATTTTACAGTTTATATTATACTGTTCATTGCAGTTCATATTCAAATATTATATAGATTATAATTTTCTTAACACACATCGTATTTATTTATATATATAGGTGTATATTTACTTAAAAGTATTCAGCTAGTATAACAGAAACACAAAACACTAAGAGAAAATAATAGCCATGAAATCTAAGAACATCAGAACCACAATGATTACCCCGAAATATGTGAATATTAACCCACGTCCAATACCTCGAACTCCGGGAGACAACCAAACCAGAACAAAGGTCATAAAATCGGTGATATTTAACCAACACAAATCCATTCAAATCGGCCACATGAAAGCAACACAAAACACCCTCCTAATACCAGGTCAAATTTCAACACATTCAACGACCGATATCAGATTGGCAAATGTATACATAATATATATACTGAACCAAATGTCCAATCATTTAACAACGTCTAATGTGAGGGTTTGGAAGCCTGAATCCTAACAATCAGATCGAAGGGTGTGGCCGGTGTGGGGGTGTGGGAAGAGGGAGGGAGATAAAGTGATTGTGGGTGTGAGTGGTAGTGTGAGTGTGTGTGTGAGAGGAAGACAATCAGATCATAAGTTGAGATTATTTGGTGTTTTTTTACGAAGGTTTATACCCAGGGTGGAATATAGATGAAGCAGTGATAGTGACTGACAGAAGTGAGTGTGTGTGTGTGTGTGTGTCTTTCTGATAGTGTGTGTGTGTGTGTGGGTGTGTGTGTGTCTTTCTGATAGTGTGTGTGTGTGTGTGCCTGTGTCTGTCTGTCTTTATCTAAGCACATGTCTATTGGTATGTAATCAGCGTTTAATTACATCTTTAAATATCTCTCAAACAAGGTATGTCATCTCATCATAGCCCTCAGGTAGGTCATGACACTGCTGACACACCTGATGACATGACATAATACTCTCCAGTGCAAAATAATATGATCTATACTCCCACTCGCCACACCTTAAGCTGGGAAGACGAAAAGCTAAAGAATAGACATCAATATTATCTTCCCAGCTACAACAATACCAACAACCATAGCTACTCTTGCTGGGGCTACTGGAATGGATGACAGGGAGGATGAGGGACTGGATGAGAAGGGGAGAAAAGAGAGAGAGTGTGAGAGAGAAGGCGAAGGAGAAGATGGAAATGAGGGCTAGAGAAAGAGAGGGGGGGCAAGAGAGAGAGGGGCAAGAGAGAGAGGGGCAAGAGAGAGAGTGGCAAGAGAGAGGCGATCAAAAAAAAAGTAAAATCAAACCAATAAATGAAACACGAATCATATTTACAATGGCAGAGAGTAAGATAAACACGATAGCCAAAGAAATAGACGATTCTTATTAGGAAATCCCCGAGTGAATGGCAGAGTGAGGGGTGTGTGAGGGTGGGACTCGACATGATATCTGAGAGTAATGAACGATAAACAGTTCCGTATCGGGAGTCATAGAGTGAATGGCAGAGGGAGGGTGAAAAAAAGAAGGTGTGAGGAAACGCAAACATGATATCAAAAGCAAGGAAGAATTCATATTGGGAATGTGGGCGTGAATGACAGGGTGGGAGGGAGGTAGGTAGGTAGGTAGAGACGGAGGAAGGGAGAGACGAAAGGAGGGAGAGAGAGAGACGTAGCTAGGGAGGGAGAGACGTAAGGAAAAGGAGAAACGGAAGGACGGAAAGACGAAATGAGGAATGAAGGGGTAGGGGAGGAAACGCAGACAGACATGAACCAGCACTTTCATTATGATAAAGGAATGACGCTGTAGTGTTGGTCAGAAGCATTACCACCACCTGCTTACCCTCCCCCCCCTCACCCACCCTCGCCTCCCTCCCTCACCCACCTTCCCCTACCTCCCTCACCCACCTTCCCCTCCCTCCCTCACCCACCTTCCCCTCCATCCCTCACCCACTCAACACCACCATTACCTGCCTCCCCTCCCTTCTCTCCCTCACCCACCTCCCTCCCTCCCCTCCCCACCCACCCCCCCACCCACCTCTCACCCACCTCCCCCTCACCCACCACCCCTCCCTCCCCACCCACCACCCTCCCTCCCTCCCTCACCCACTCCGCCTCTCACCCACCACCTCCTCCTCACTCACCTCCCTCACCCACCTCGCCTCTTTCACCCACCTCGCCTCCCTCCCTCCCTCACCCATCACCTCCTCCTCCACCAAAAAAATACTGCAGATACCACTTTTTCCCACGGGAGCAACAGGGTTTAGTGGGACAGGCGGATGCGATAGTTAGTGGACGTGGATGTAATTGTGGATGGCTGAGTATTTGTGGATGAGTTTGTTTATGTGATTGGTTGGTGATGTAGATGGATGAATATATGTGAGTATGTTTTTATAAGTGGTTGATGATGTGGATGGATGAGTAGATGTGGATGAGTATTTTTGTAAGTGGTTGATGATGTGGATGTTTTGTAAATGAGGATGTGGGCTTGGTTGTGTGTATAAAAGTGTATGAATGTTTATAACTACGCATGAATGTATATACAGTAAATGTGTGTGAATATGTATGAATGTGTGTGTGGATTTGTCCCAGGGTTGGAATGTGGAAGCGACAGCGTATATGTGGATGACGGTACTGGTGTGGTTGTGGAACTGATGTAGGTGATTATGTGGATAGCGAAGTGGATGAGGGTATGTGTCCATGTAGAATTGTGGATAAGTGGAATAGGAAATCGATTTGTGTGTGTGTGTGTGTGTGTGTGTGTGTGTGTATGTGTGTGTGTGTGTGTGTGTGTGTGTGTGTGTGTGTGTGATTCCTTTTTACTAACTCTCTTGAGCATTATTTATTTCTGTCTATTCTCCTCACCATCTTTACTGTTTGACTGTCTCTTTGTATGTTCATCTAACCATCCAACTGTCTATCTCTGTCAACACTTAACTTTCTAACTGGGACGAACTGACTGGGCGGAGGAAGATTGATGATAACAGTCACATATGCTGAATAACCCAGTCATTCTTGGTCTTAGGAAATGTGTAATGTTAGGACATGCAGGGATAGGACACGCACACTAGTACAAGCAAACTAAGGACACGCACACCTATGACACGAACACTTAGGACACACGCACACAAACTTACGACACGCACGCACACACTTAGGACACGCACACACACACACACTTACGACAGGTGGATCACAGGATTAATAAAGGCAGGTGTTGTTGTTGGCGCCCCCTTGGGTGTGCCACTCCTCCTCCTCCTCCTCCTCCCCCTCCTCCTCCTCCCTTGGGCTTTGACCTGCCACGTCCACCTCTGAGCTGAGGAAACCCGTTACATAAACACAAAAAGTTTCTTACAGGAAACGCATCTGCCCCTCCCTTCAGTGACCCCCCCTCCCTCCTTACTCCCTCTCCTCCTTCTCATTCCCTCACCCTCCTCCCTCACTTCACTCCCCTGTCGTTTCCTGCCAATTCTTCCCTCCCTCCCTCCCTCACTTTATCCTCACCACTGCCTTGCCAAATCCCCTTCCTCCTCCTTCTCTTCCCTCCTCACTCTCCCTCCCTCACTCTCTCTCCCTCCCTCGCTCCCCTGTGCTCTCCCTCTCTCTGTCCTTTCCTTGCCAACGCCTCCCTCCTGCTCCCTCCCAAACACACTCTCCCACAACCCTCTCCGTTCCTTCCAACCCCCCTTTCTTCCCATTCCTTGCCCCTCCCCAACTCTGCCCCCTCTTCACCCACTCCCAGTCCCTCTCCCATCTCCCCCGCCGTCCCAAGATACGCCCAGGCTGTTGGTCCGTCAGCCCCGCCCCTGCAGCCATTTCCTCCGCGATAAAGCACCGTCCGCTACGTCAACTCGCATCCATTTCTTGGATTTCTCCGTGAGGTCGACGAGCCCCTCCGCCTCCTGAACCGTTTCACGCAGGATGTTGTATTCCTCGGCTCTCGTAGGCTTCCTGGGAGACGAGAGGGCTGGAGAAACTCGTGAGAATGGGACTTGGGGGAGAGTCGTTTATCGCGAGAGCAGTGGTAGGAGCAAAACAAAAATCGATAAGTGTTAAGGTGTGTTCAGGGGTGACGCCTCAGTGCAAGTAGGGCCTTGCTACCTCGATACACAGACCCCCAGCAGGCACCGAGCTCCTCCGTCCCTGACTCACGAGGGAGAACTATTTTTCGAAGCTTCTGGTAATTTTGATCAAACGTAGAATCCTTATTTCACGAGATATATCGACTTTTAATCTGTATCCCGACGCGGCTGAGCGAAGGAGAGACGCATCTCCTTAGCGGGGTGGGACGCCCTCAAGTGCATATATTCTAGTTTTTTTTTTTTCCAGGTCGTTGATCGCCAGTCTGTCATTGTCATTTAAGGCCTCAACTGGCGACCACTACCATGGCCCTCACCCGTCTGTCTCCTCCCAACTCTTGCCCTCAAAACCTACTGGTTCTCGACATACTGTAGAACTTTTCACTAAATGATTCATCCCTCCTGTAGACTGACGTGCACTTCTATAGGCCCGT